AGAGCCACTTAAATATTTCAATAAATAAAGTCAATGTTTTAAAAATCTTTAAAATCTTTAAGTAGGATCCAGTTTTGATCCCACCTTAAACACCAAGAGGCCTCTGTTGTGTGGGTTTTAGCACATCATGTTTGTGTGCTGTTCCCACGACTCCAAACATAAATATGGAAATCTCTACTGTGAGAACTGAAAAGTGAGGCTGGTGTGTTCTTAGATATGTGATGGAGATGACAGCTAATCGTGTTTAATCCTAACTCTCAATCTGTTTTTGCACAATTATCTGCAAGAGGAGAGCATCTCCACTTCAAAGCCAGTGTGTTAGAATAAACCAAAGAATCATGACAACACCAGGCACATACAGCCAATCAAAGCGACACAGAACCAGAGAACCCAGCAGGGTCCCTTCCAGGTTAATCTGGGAAATACAAGGTCTGTGGTAGAGAGCTAAAACACAAACAAGAGATTTGGAAATGTACAAGTTTTACTTTGTTTGTTTCAGAATTGTAGTAGTGTGACAGAAGTCGAATGAGGTGACAGGGGAGGTATCAGAGAGGGCGGTTTAAAGAAACAGTGAAGTTCTGATTTTCACCTTAGAGAAAAGGAAAAGGCGATGCAAGGAGAGGCGTAATGAAGAAAACACAAAAAACACAAGAGAGAAAGAGGAGGAGCAGAAACAATAAAAATGCTAATGGCTTAAGGGCTGAAGAGAATGATAAAGGCATACAGACAGAAAACAAACAGGAGAGGCTCTGACATGAGGTTTTTAGGTTAAAACAAGGGTCAACAACTTGTGTGTTGTTTTTTTCCCATTACCTTCATCTCCATCTGTGTTTGATATGGCGCAGCATGCAAACATGCAAGTAAAAAGAGAGGAGGGGGGGTGTTAGAGATAATAGTTTAAGGATTCATCACATCATCACAGACACAGGAAAACATGAACATTAGCATTCAACAACACTGACAACACATCATTATGCTTTGGAACAGCTAGCTGAGAAGTCTAACATGTGACTGATATCACCCCAAAGCCCTGTTTTACACCAGTGGAGAGTAAATGATACTCAAGACTAAAAGAAAATGGTCCAAGCATAAAGAATGTCCTTCAAGTAAAGTCACTGTCAGTGCAGACTGTTGACGTTAAAAATTATTCAAGTCACAAAAGACTTTCTATACTATGACTGATGTCACTTTGAAGTAAGTGTGCATTTCAGCAAAAACATGTAAAAAGATGACTTTTACTGTCCCCAGTTTTATGTTGGAGCATCCATCGCCACCTGACATTGAACCCATACGACCCAAAAAACAGAAGGAAACACTTCATACAGCCACCACATTGAGATTGCTGCAATGAGGGGAAAAATCAATAAATATGTGCAAGTGTAATCACTTCCAGTTATGGAGACACAATTATGAATATGAATTAAAGTTGGCACTTAAATTGGTAGTGATTGTAAAGTAGTCACATCCAAATATAAAATAAATGTATTCTGTTGCGCTCCATCTTATTTTCTGTGCAGGTATGCCTTCTTTTTCAGACTGCACAATCTTAAAGTTAAGGGACCTTCTACTTATATACAGTAAAACCTCAAATATATGACTAGTGATTAAACTAAAGCTCAATTTCAAAAACTGTTTGGATGTCATACATAAAAACAGAACACAATGTAGGATTTGATCAACATACCCAGACTTCTAAAAGCTCTAGGGGAATTAACTGTGGACTGCTGAAACATTTTGGAAAAAGCCACATTAAACGGCATCTAATGGAAAAAATCTGCATTCCCTCTGTAGTCAGCATGCCTCTGACTGAGAGCAGTACAAACATGACACCTAGTGGCTGGTGGTAGAAAGTAAATTTGACTTAAAAACTATTTTTTTCCAACTTCTGCAAGAAGAATTCACATTTGATGGCTTACAGTTGATTGTAATTTGAACAGAGACATGCTGGCATTAAGTAATCAGGTCAGGGAAATGAATGTGGTGCAGAGAAGCTGGGAAAATTAATAAATCAGTTGTTGGGAAACTTGCATATAAGTATAAAACCAAATGCAGGATATGCACATTTTTATTTCAAGTTGTCCTTACAATCTAAAGCAACTAAAATTACATACTTAGGGGGATCATGTTAAAGGGACAAGTCAAATATGGCATATAGATTTTAGACTGCCCATTTGGTACAAATTCATTTTAGACTTTTTGCCAGTTTGTTGTTAACATATTGTCATCCATGGCCTCTTTTTTCCATATACCTTTTTCCTATTAAGCAGGATGACATTGCAAGTTTCAGGTCTTACTTTATTTGGAGTGGATCAGTGCCCACTCTAGTGGCAGCAGGGTAAGTGGGATATTTCAACCAAATTTCTCCCAAGCAATACTTTCAAGTTCTGGGTCTACCCTGCTGTCTCCTACCAGTTCGGTGTGCCCAACAAACCTTCAAAGGT